AAATTAATTGGTAGAACTGTTGATTTTAACCAGTTTATAGAGTAATCTGAAACTTTTGAAAAAGAGTTTATCAGTTCTATTGAATGAGACAGAGACGATTGAGAATTCTGGAGGAAGAGTAAAACATCATCTGCATAAAGACTGATCTTATGTTCTATTTTATTACACTTTATCCCTTTAATACCTGTTGTTTGCCTAATTGCTGCTGCTAGTGGTTCGATAAAGATAGCAAACAGTGAGGGGGAGAGTGGGCATCCCTGCCTGGTCCCCCTCTGAAGACAGAAGCTAGCTGATATTTGGTCGTTCGTCCTAACACGTGCAATTGGTGAACTGTATAATGTTTGTAGCCAGTTTATGAAGAAGTTCCCAAAACCAAATTTATGTAAAGTTGCAAATAAGAACTTCCAGTTAACTCTATCAAAAGCCTTTTCTGCATCTAGAGATAATATACTAGTTTCTATGTTTCTACTGTAAGAGAAATCTATCAAATTAAGTAATCTACGCGAATTAGTGGACGATTGTCTACCCTTTATGAAACCAGTTTGGTCAGGGTGTATTAAGAAGGGGGTTACCTTCTCTAATCTTTTTGCCAGGGCTTTACAAATTATTTTGAGATCAACATTAATAAGAGAAATTGGGCGATAGCTGGTTGGAAATGCTGGGTCTTTGCCTGGTTTTAACAAGAGACTAATATTGGCTGAGTTCATGTTTGGCTGTAATCTGCCGCTCTCTTCGATTTCCCTCACCATTCTGAAAAATGTTGGAGCCAAAATGGTCCAGAATTCTTTGTAGAACTCTGCTGGGAACCCGTCTGGACCTGGAGCTTTCCCATTAGTCATGGATTTAAGGGCTTCCTGGAGCTCTGCTGATGTTAGTGGCGAGTCCAGGACTGCAACTTGGTTGTCTGTTAATTTAGGAAGTGTTATCCTATCAAGGAACTCATCGATCTCGTCATCTGATGGGTTTATCTGTGGTGAGTACAAAGTTTGGTAAAAGTCTCTGAAAGTGTTGTTTATTCTTTCAGGGTCATAAACTATATTCCCAGTTGAGTCTTTAACAGCAGATATTGTAGTTTTCTCTTTATTAATTTTTAATTGGCTGGCCAGAAATTTACCGGATTTATTACTATGTTCAAAGTTTTCTATTCGTAGTCTTTGTGCTAAAAATTGTGTTTTTTTGTCAATAATTCCATGAAGTTCTAATTTAGCTTTACGTAATTTGCTCAGTAACTCTTCTTCTGTGGATGTCTCTAAAGACTTAATGATTTCTTCTAACTCCTGGATACGTTTATTTTCTGTTTTTTTCTTATGTGATGAGAAAGAGATTATTTTACCTCTCATCACTGCCTTTCCTGCCTCCCAGAGAATAGATGCTGATGTTCCAGGCAGGTCATTATGTTCTAAATATAAAGCCCACTCCTTTTTAAAAAATTCTATAAAACCTTCATCTTTAAGCAGTGATGTATTAAACCTCCAGTTTTTGCTTGGTGGGATTGCTTTCTTGTTTACTAGAGTTAAAGAAACCGGAGCATGGTCGCTGACAACAATAGGGTGTATCTCAGTGTCTGAAATGTCAGCCAGCAATGAGCTGCTGACTAGAAAATAATCCAAACGTGAATGAGAGTGATGGACGTGTGAGAAAAAAGTATACTCTCTACGGTTAGGATGAAGAGATCGCCATGCATCACAAAGCCCATAATCACTCATGTACTGTTTAACTATATAAGTGGATTGCCAATTGCGCCGAGTCCCAGCTGTACTGAGCCTGTCTAAGGAATGCATCCAAAGATTAAAATCACCTCCAAGTATAAGTGGACAGTCCAAGTGTTCGGAGAGTACAGAGAAAAAATTATGAAAGAATGGAGGGTCATCAATATTTGGACAGTATATGCTCACAATACATAAGCGTTGGTTCTGTATAGTTATTTTTAACATTATAAATCTACCTTCTGGATCAGAAACTGTGTCCAGTACTGTGAAATTGATGTTTTTGTGTATTAAAATAGCTACCCCTCTTTGCCTAGAGTTATAGCAGGCAGAGAACATGCTGGGAAACTCAGGTGTTTTAAGTTCATCTGCCGATGTGGCAGATCTATGAGTCTCCTGTAATAATATTACGTCTGCTTGCATTCTTTTTAACTGATCAAAAATCTTTAATCTTTTATCTCTTGAGCCAGTTCCATGTACGTTCCATGAGACAAATCTTAGTGCACCCATAGATGTGTGTGTGAGTAGCTAAAATATGACGCCTTCATGTGAATAAGATGGAATAAGTATCTAAATGTATAAAATAGTATGTTAATAAATAACAGAAAAGTAAATAATAATAAGGATTCAACAGTGTTTGTGGTTGTATTATTTGACGCATAAATTATGATATTGTGTTGTGACTTAAATATATCCATGTGTGTGTGTGTGTGTGTGTGTGCGTGTTCCTGTGTGTGTGTGTGTGTGGGTCTGTGTGTGCATGTGTGTGTCTGTGTGTGTGCGTGCGTGTGCGTGTGTGTGTGTGTGTGGAGTCTGACGCAGTGTTGGAAAGTTGTGTGGTTGTGCCATACAGGTGTAAAGAAGCAGATAAAAAGAGGAAAGGAAAATACAGAAACAGGTTAAAAAAGAAGAAAGAACTAAAAAGAAAAGGTGATGGGGTGTGAGGTGATGATGAACAGGTGAACTCATCATCTAAAACACGGATCTAGCAGCTGTTTATTACTGACGTGCTCAAACCCAGTGAATCTGATAAGAAAAATAAAGGTCTGACCTGATGTTGGGCTAATACAGCCAGTCTGTCACTCCTCGCTCCTTGTAAAGTTTATTATCCACATAAAGCTTATCCACTGAGATGACAGCTCTCTTCCCATCTTGGATAAACTTTTTACGCAGCGGAAAGAGAACTCTGCGCCGATCCAGGATTTCCTTAGGAAACTGGTCATTAACGCTGAAGTCTTTGCCTTTGAGCTCTCTTCCGTGACTTTTAACCAGATCCTTCTGCTTAAAATGTTCAAATTTAGCCACGATGGGACGAGGTCGTCTGCTGTCCCCTCTTTTAGCTCCAAGGCGATGTACTCTGTCGAAGGTGATGTTTTTTACCGTTTCTTCGGGTATCTTCATTTGGGTCTGGAGAAAGTGTTTAACAGTGCGTTCGCAGTCCTCTGCCCCTCCCACCTCCTCCGACAGACCTGCAAACACCAAATTATCCCTCATGCTACGGGCCTGAAGGTCCAAAACCGTCTCCTTCAGAGTTTTGTTGTCCTGGGTGATCCGCGTCATTCCCTCCTCCAGGGAAGAAACGGACTCCCGCAGAGACGCGTTCTCAGCAGCGAGCCGCTCCACCTGCTCCTGGCTGAATTCCAGGGACTGGCGGAGGTTCTGAAACTCCTGGTGCAGAACCTCAAGCAGATGAAGACGCCCCTCAAATCCCAGAAGCCGTTTATCTATGGATTCTAATAATTCCAATATGTCCTTCCGGGGAGATGAGGCCTCAGGCGAGTCCTGAGGGCGGCTCCGCTTCGTCCCAGGTGTTTCAGGTTCACCTGCTGATTTCTTCGGACCCATAACAAATAACTCGAAAACTCCGTCAATAAAGTTCTGTAAACTTTCTAAATTTTCTTCACTTACCTCCAGATTGAGCGAGTTATACTTACCAGATTATTTTTTTGCGTTGTCAGTTTTTAAATTAGGCAAAAATGCATCTGAATTGTTTGTGAATGTTTGCTAACGAGCTGCCATCAGCTTCAAACGCTGCTGTGTCCGGTAATCGGCCGTCAGCGCATGCGCATCCTCCTCGCACACACACACACACACACAAACACTGAGCAGGGGACTGACAGACACACAGGTCGAGCTGGGGACAAAGAAACTGGGGGCTACAAGGACACAGAATGTAAATGAGACCTGGAGGGCCTGGGGAAGAATGAGATGACACAAGACCAGGGAGGATTTGACTTAAAGGACTATCAACATAAGACACATAATGGACGCAGACAAAGGACACATGAGGGCGCTATGAGACACAAAAGGGGAATCTAAAGAGGGATGGAGGACATAAGGAGACACATGGGGAAGACACAGACGCAGACCATGACAGTGTAACCCCGAACAAGTTCACTGAACTCAAAATGTGTGAGGAAACTGATTACCTAATAATGTTTAAGTTAACTTATCTAAAAACTATAAGTTTGCCACAACTTTAAAAATAATACCTTAATAAAATTAAAGCATTTAACTACCTCTAACCTATAACTAGCACTTAAGCAACTTACAAAGTTTAATTTAAACTTGCATGTTTTATTTTATTTGAACTTTATTGCATGTTTTTACTAACTTCAATATTATAACTTATATGCGCATGAACACGCATGAAGCAGCCTGCTCGACTCGAGCAGCTCTCTTTTTCTATGATTTTACAGAAAAACAGGCAATCACAGTCAAAATCCCAGGGCTCATTCTACAGGACCAGGGCATTGCAGGAGAATGTATGAAGAAGAAATTTATTATTTCTATACATGTTTATAAGGTCAAACTTCCTTATAGTCCCTTTAAGTCATTCTTTATTCATAATTGTACTGATGAAATATTTACTTTGAACAGCACATCAAAGGTTTAGGTATGTGAATTAAAACATTGTTTAATGTTTGTTCCTGTGATTCCTCCTTTTCAAGCCAGCTCTGCTGCTCTTTTACCGTAATACACCATGTATGTGCGAAGCTAATCTTTTCTGAAAGTGTAAATATTGGCTTACTTGACTGTGGACCCACAGCTTCACTTATAGCTAAACTAATGGAAATTTCATTAGTTTCTGATAAATTTATTAAAAATAATAATAATAAAAGAACAGGTTACTAAGTCAAGTGTTGCCTAGTGAGAACCAACAGGAAGTGAAACGGTGAGACCAACGTGATGCAGCAGTTTGTTCTGAAGGTGAACCAAAGCAACAATCCACAGAGAGAAAAGCACTCAGAGACTCTGACAGGAAAACAAGAACAATGTTCACTTCTAACTCACCTGATTCACTTTAGTTTTCTTTCTTGTCTTTTGTCCATATTAAATCCAGTCTCAACCGGTTTGTTTTTTTTTCCTTCTCCTGAAGACAAGGTACAAATTCCAAAGTCTCAACCATAAACCATAGTTACAGTCAGCCATCAGAGATAAGGAAAGTGTGTAAAAGTCTCAAAGCTTTGAGAGTCCAATTTCTGGTCTGTGGGCCATTTGTGGTCCTCACGGAGATTGTTGTGGCCCTGAATTCCAGAATGATATTATTGAGTCCAGCAGCACAAGCTGTGGATGCAGATCTACACTTTATAATGTTTCTGTCCAGATTGTTACTAATGTGAGGTTTTACAACAAAAACATGAAATAGTAATATTAGAAAAGATGAAGTCCATCACAAAATATTAGTCTGTTATTAAACAGGTTATTTTCAATTAACATAAAGACATTTTGCTCTAAAGATATTACAATGTATCTCCCCTGCACAAAAACACAGTTAAAAACTCCAAAAATGTTTTTTTATTCACACAATTGATCTTTTCAAACTATTTCAAAGTCAAAGTCAGTTTAATTGTCACTTCTGCCACATGTACAGGACATACAGAGAAATGAAATTACGTTACTCTCAAACTCTCGCTAGATAGAAAATAAACATTTAGTATAAAAACAGTAACCAAGTTCAGAGAGACTGTGGGGGAAAAGAGAGGAGAGTTGGGAGAGCTGGGAGGGAGTTTAGCTTCCTAACTGCCTGATGGATAAAGCTGTCCTTCAGTCTGTTGGTCCTGGCCTTGAGACTCCGCAGTCTCCTCCCTGACGGCAGCAGCTCGAAGAGGCTTTGCATTGGGTGAGTGGGATCAGCCGCAATGCGAAGGGCCTTTTTTGTGAGGCGGGTGCTGTAAATGTCTGATAGGGAGGGGAGAGAGACCCCAATGACCTTCTCTGCTGCTCTCAGTATACGTTGGAGGGTTTTAATGCATGAAACGTTGCAGGCTCCGAACCACACAGTGATGCCGCATGACAGGATGCTCTCGATGGTGCCTCTGTAGAAAGTGTACATGATGGGGGCTGGTGCTCTTGCTCTTCTTAGTTTGCGGAGGAAGAAGAGATGCTGCTGTGATTTCCTCAATGCCAATGCTATGGTGTTGTGCGTCCAGGAGAGATCCTCTGTAATGTGCACACCCAGGAACTTGGTGCTGCTCACTCTCTCCACAGACACACCGTTGATGGTCAGCGGAGCATGCTGAGTGTATGTTCTCCTGAAGTCCACAACAATCTCCTTGGTCTTCACCACATTTAGAGAGAGGTTGTTGTCAGCACACCATGTGGTAAGGCGGCTCACCTCGGTCCTGTAGTCGGTCTCATCCCCGTTGTTTATGAGACCCACCACTGTTGTGTCATCCGCAAACTTGATGAAGAGGTTAGAGCTGTGTAATGGTGTACAATCGTGGGTCAGCAGAGTGAAGAGGAGGGGGCTCAGCATACATCCCTGGGGGGCCCCCGTGTTTGAAATGATGGTGCTGGATGTGTATTTTGAAGTATGGGAGTGTCCATGTTTTTGAGTGTGCAAGGCATTGTGGGATGATGCGATGAAACATTTCCCTTTCCAATGGCACAGGGTCACGGACAGAAGACCAGAATGCAACTGTTCACAATAAATAAAGGAAATGATTGTAATCACAAACAAAGGCTTCTGCACCAAATATAACACTGATTTTCTCAGGTGTCCAAATAGTTATGTGCATCAATGCAATACAAATCAATAATTTATAAACCATACAAGGTGATTTCCTGAAATGTATTAAAAAGCTGTTTCTCACAGTGAAAATGATTCTATAATGTGAACTTCAGACCTCTGGGAGAACTTTGAAAATGACAGAATGTTCAAATTCTTATCTCTTTTGTTTTTTCCACCAGACTCCTGAGCAGGTGTGTGAGTATGAAACAGAAAGACAGTTTGGTGCTCACTTCATTCTAGTTTTTACTCATAGGTTACAAAACAATGAATACATCTGACATCTGGAACAAGGAAACAAGTCGGGTTTTCTTCTGCATTAAAGTTTCAAATATCTTTCTGACAGGTTGTTGATTTTCAAAGTGGCAAAACTTACAAACTTGGCAGAGTTACGAGGAAACAGTGAAGTATTCCTTTATATTTTTGTTGTTCCTTGTTTGTGTGTTTAACACTTTGACATCAAGCATTACCAAGCAAAATGTAAAAACTGACTGAGCACTTTGGATTACAGTTTTTCTCGATTGGTTTGGCTCATTTCCTGAAACCGAGATGACATTCACAAAATAACATGGACAAATCTCCAAACCACCTTGCAATTGTTCACAACAGAATGTCAGTTTTCATTGGTTTAATCACATTGCAAATGCTTTAGTACATGTCTCAAGTGACTCTGTGCTTCTTTTCAAATGATTATGTACAAGTAGCTACAGTTAGCACAATGAGCCCACATTTAGCACATTTCCCAAATAAATAGATCTTGCCGATCTAAACTGATTAGTTGATTTGTCAGTGAAATGGTCACTCACTCCACAACACATCAGCATGGTTTCATTGTGTAAGTCATCATATGCACAATTGTCTGTTCAACTGTCAAAATTAATTAAAGATATAATACCATGAAAGAATATCTTGGAACATTTGATAAAGTTATGACAGTACTTGACAATCAATCAGGTGAAATTAGAACTAACGAAGGAGCAGCCTCCCACATCTCAGATGACCAATCAAACAGGTTGTTCAGATACCTGACAGGTGTTGTCTATGATCATGACTGCTGCCTAAAGTATATAGACAGAGCTTGGCCCGGGGCCAGTTTCATTTGCAGTGTGAACATGGAAGCACCTCGCCAAGTACAACAGCAACTTCCTGCTCGAGGAAGAGGAGGAAGAAGAAGAGGAAGAGGAGGAGTGAGAATGTGTGGAGGAATAGGGGGAAGAGGCCAAGGAGCACAGAGGCACCATGATGTCCCAGGTGAAATCCGGGCCACCCTTATTGACCACGTTATAAACCATAGCCTCACAATGGCAGAGGCAGGTCGCCGAGTGCAACCTAATGTGGCTCGGTCTACAGTCTCCTCCATCATCCAAACCTTCCACAGGGAAAACAGGTACAGAACTATGCTATTGAACTATTCAGTGTTGGTGTGTGTGTAGGCCTAGTGTACTGTAATATCGTCATGTGATGTTATATGATACTATAAAAATGACAAAGACAGAAAAATGGAGAAAATACTGTGAATAGTATTCCAGTCACTGTGCAGTGCATCACACTTCTAGTACCATAGGACAGCAGTACAATTACAGTGGTAACTCATTTTGTAACAAATTTACAGTGTTGACCTTTGACTTGTATGTCTAGGATTGGACGACAGCCTCAAGTGGGTGGCAGAAGAAAACTTCTAAATGAACAACAAGAACGAGAAATATGCAACATGGTCATTGCAAATAATGCCATCACACTGAGACAGATTCGTAATGCAATCCTGCTAGACAATGTAATGTTCCAAAATATGAACTCTATCAGCATCTCCACAATAGACCAGGTATTGAAGAAACATCAGAAGACCATGAAACAGATTGACAGGGTACCATTTGAGAGAAACTCTGACAGAGTGAAAGGGCTGCGGTACCAGTATGTGCATGTAAGTCAACTACTGGTTGTCTATCATTGTAACACTATTGCAGTAAGACATGGTTACCACTGTTTTCTTATTTTGTGGTATCCTTTTCACCTTCAGAATGCAGCTTTGTGTGACTAGAGCATTTTGCCTAGAAATTGTCGTCAGTTTCCCACTCCCTGTTTGTACAGTAATTCAGATCCTCCCTGCAGTATCTGTCTCTACTTGACTGATTAGATTTATTTCTATTCTATTGCAGAGAATAATGGCATTAGAAGGCAACGACAACCCTCACATCCTAGTGTTCGTTGATGAAGCCGGCTTCAACCTGGCCAAAGGTCGAAGGCGTGGCCGTAACATCATTGGCCACCGAGCCACTGTGGATGTCCCAGGCCAGCGAGGGGCAAATATAACAATGTGTGCCGCTATATCAGAAAGAGGTGTGGCCACACACATTCCCAGTTTAGGGCCCTATAATACACAAAAGCTCCTCAATTTTTGGACCACCTTTATACTGATCTGATCCCAGAAAATGAGAGAGGTGTAGAAGGACCTCAGCTACCACATTATGTCATTGTGTGGGATGATGTGAACTTCCACCACGACCCACGCATCAGAACCTGGTTTACCACCCATCCCCGGATGCTAGTGGAGTTTCTTCCACCTTACTCTCCTTTCCTAAATCCAATTGAGGAGTTTTTTTCAGCTTGGAGGTGGAGGGTGTATGAGCATCAGGCTCAAGACCAGAGGGCCCTGCTGCATGCAATGGATGCTGCATGTGAGGACATCACAGGGGATCAATGTAGGGGATGGTTGAGACATTCACGCCGTTTCTTCCCTCGCTGCATCGCACGAGAAAATATCTGTCGCGATGTGGATGAGAATTTATGGCCTGACAGAGAGCAGCGCGTCGATGGCCAGGAGGATGAGGATGGTGGCCAGGAAAGAGAGGGTGACAATGGCGACCACTGAAAATATTACTGTACTATAGTTCTGAAACCTTATTTACAGTATGGTAGGCTAGAGTTGTTTTTGTTTTTTGTTTTGTTTTTTATTTGTTTATAACTGCTCACATTTACAGAATCCTGTATGTTTTCTTTTCACAGTATGTTCTCTAATGTTAACATTTCTTTGTACGAATGAAAATGTTTACAGTTTCTTGAGTATGAGTGGTTAATTGGAGGCCGATTTTACTGCGAAATCTATTGGTTTTATTCATAGTGGTATTCTGTTGCTAGACCTGTGCCTCAGTGACACAACATCTGAGCATTTTGACTTGCAGTGCTTAAACAATGCCAAAGGTATAATGCATTTTGGGGGCATTGACTATTTATATGGGAAGGATATTTAGTTTTGACACATGGATAAACTCTTTTGGGAGAGATATGAGCTTTTGCAGGGGATCCATGGTGTTGTGCTAAACCATCCAAGTTATTTTGACAAAAGCACTAAATGAATGCACACGTGCCAAGGCAATTGAGAAGGATCTGTGCTATTTTGACTGTACTGACCTTTTATATGGGAAAGGAATCTGCTTTTGAAGCATGGACGAAGAGTTTGGGGAAAGATATTTGATTTTGCTAGTGAGCTATAATGTTGGGCAGCACTGTCAGACTGTTTGGCCAAATGACCTTATGGTTTTGAGAATGTCATCTCGGTTTCAGGAAATGCGCCAAACCAATCGAGAAAAACTGTAATACAGATTACAAATATTCCAATTCTTAAAGAGCAAGTCACCCCCTACCAGATTCTTTCTCCGCTCCCACTTCCTGTTAGGAAAATGCAACCAATGCTCTTGCCTAGCAGACCGAGAGGGCGGAGCCGCTAACAAATGCACACACTCACAACATTGTGACATCATAATGTACCATCTAACATCATAGTGTACCTCTTAGCCAATAGCAATGGCAGATTTAAATTCAAATGCAGTGCAGAGTTTTTACCTGACAACGGCACAACACTGACAGTTTTAGGCAGAAAATTTAAATTTTAACTAAAATGCACTAAAGTGCAAAACTATTGACTACATGTGCAGATGATGGATGGATGGATGGACAGACAGATAGATAGATAGATAGATAGACAAATCTCCTCCAGTTTTACTTTCTGCTCCTAAAACACCGTTTTGTTCTCAGTACACGACATCACAATATAACTATAGACACATTACTTTGTCTTTGTGTGTGGGTGTGTCCTGTTGTAAGACTGGTGTGTGTGTGTATCCTGTTAAGACTGGTGTGTGTGTGTGTGTGTGTGTGTGTGTGTGTGTGTGTGTGTGTGTGTGTGTGTGTGTGTGTGTGTGTGTGTGTGTGTGTGTGTGTGTGTGTGTGTGTGTGTGTCCTGTTATAAGACTGTTGTGTGTGTGTGTGTCCTGTTGTAAGACTGGTGTGTGTGTGTCCTGTTGTAAGACTGGTGTGTGTGTCCTGTTGTAAGTCTAGTATGTGTGTCCTGTTGTAAGTCTAGTATGTGTGTCCTGTTGTTAGACTGGTGTGTGTGTGTCCTGTTGTAAGCCTGGTGTGTGTGTGTGTGTGTCCTGTTGTAAGACTGGTGTGTGTGTGTCCTGTTAAGACTGGTGTGTGTGTGTGTGTGTCCTGTTGTAAGACTGGTGTGTGTGTGTCCTGTTAAGACTGGTGTGTGTGTGTTTGTCCTGTTATGATTGGTGTGTGTTTCTTGTTGTTAAACCTGTAATGTTTTGTAAGTGGTTACTTTTAATAAATTGTTAATGAAATAAAAAGGACATCGATTGATGATATAATTAGGTACTTTGGGTATGCCAGAGAACCAACACTTTATAATAATTTGACACAGAGGCAAAAATATAGTTTATAAAAATCAATATATTACTATATATCTGCTACTAATGATAATGCACGGCAAATGATTATAAATGGTGATGTAAGGTAATTTCAACTGAGACAATAAAATGATAAATGATCAAAATGAAAAATGATCAAAATGTTATTAAGAGCCTAATTAAATAAATAAATATCCTTTAAAATGACACTAGAAGAGGTGTAAATTTGATAGAGGTCTCTGAGGATCCAAGGCCTTTAGACTGATGACCATGAGGGTGGCTTCAGGGGGTCACATTGCCTTGTTTGTACCATTTTCTATGCTTTTTCTCTATTAACCCATTTAAAACCAACCTACTGAATAATGGTTGTTTGTGGACGTGTGTCAGGGTCTTCCTCTCCTGGAGGTAAAGAACCAAGATAGCTGGAGAGGATCCAGACAAAAAAGGAGCTTTCTACAGATCTTAACAACAGATTCATGTTGACGCGACATCATCAGTTACATCCATGATGGGAATCTCCTGTTCCACCTCACCCTGAAGGTTCTGGACGGGATCTAAATCTGAAGTCATCATTATGTTCTAGAAACAGTCAGAAATGATCTGAGCTTTATGACATGGTACTTTATCCTGCTGGAAGTAGCTTCAGAAGACGGGTCTATGTGGTCCAAAAGGGATCGACATGGCCCTCATTGTTTGTTCTTTAGTTTTGATTCTGATGTTGGGTTAAAACAGGAGTCTCATGATGAACCCAGTGAAAAAGTTTCATTAACTCTTCATTAAATTGTAAATTTATCTTCAACTACTTTATCAAACAAAAGAAATCTCTACTAACTGTGATCTAACTTTAGGAGAGGTACAGTATGTGACACTGTTGATATGACGGGTTAAGGTCAAGGTCACGTTTATTTCTAAAACACATTTATAGCAGTGTTGTACAACAACGGTGCACAATCAAAGCAACAAACAGAAGGACAGAGGCATTTCATTAAGATAAAAGCAACAGGCAGAGTAAAAATGGTAAGCACAAATAGTCTCTAAAGAATAATCAAATGTATGAGTTAGCTCACATTAAGAGCCAGACCAAAAAGAAGCATCTAAAGGAAAGATGTTAAATGCTCTAAGTGAACAGCCTTTTATGAAAGGAATTGGCCACAGATGAGTTCTAGAATCAGGTAAAGTACCTGGGAACCAGACCTCATGGTTCTGGCAGGAACAGGTGAGATTTTTTAGAACAGTGTTGCAACAAACGCCTTAAACATGAAAAAACACCTTCAAAAAGGTCAAATCGATCAATCAATCAAAGATACTTTATTAATCCCAGAGGGAAATTAGAGTTTCAGTACACACAATTCTGAGATCAGACATACATACATAGACACATGACATGAATTGGTGGCTGTGGTCATTCGCAACCCTGAGTCGCGCTACCTTAATAGAGATAAGAGGGTTACATGAGGATTGGTTCAGGTGGAGGGAAAAAAATACAAACCTAATTGTGTCTTAGAGTTGGTACAGAAGAACCCCACTGAAAGTGGTGACAGCAATGTGCCCATAAAGATGAGTGTTAGCAACAAGCTGCATGTAGACTTGGTCTCCTTGCTGCAGCTGCAGGAAAGCTGAGTTTCCTCCATTATCAGCGCCATCACCTGATGACCTGTGATCATGCACCCCCACAACCACCTCGTTGTTCTTTATGAGGTTGAGACTCACAGGGTGTTCCCCTCCTGCATGGTAGGAGAAGGTGAAGTAGTAGATCCCTGTGACGGGAGCAGCAAAGATACCTGTGGAAACAGTGTGTTAGCTAATGCTAGTTAGCTATCAGGGCATAACAGGAAGTGTGAGTACTAACCTGTGACCGGGTTGTAGGCATTGCCCACATTTGTTTTCACCGTTTTGTAAATCAGTGTTGTGGCTGTGCTGAAGGGTCCGACTTGTCCTCCACCTAACCCTACAGTGAACGCCACTTTGGTTGCATCTAGAGTTTCAAGAATAAATTAGCATTTTACTAAAGTTTTCACCTGTAAGTGACTCCAGAAGACATGATTCTTTTTACCTTTCTTCTTCAGCTCAGTGATCTGGGTTTCTGCCTCCTTCAGCCTTGCCTCCATGCTGCTTTGCTTCTCTGTCATGGCACCAAACTCTTTCAGGAACTTACACATGTCAGGAAAACACGACTGTGTGTCGACTGTGTCCCCAGCAACAACATCCTGGGCTGATGTTAAGCCACAGAACAACACTGCCGTCAGAAGTATGAATTTCATCGTTGATTCTGTTACTGCTTCTCCAGAACTCGTGCTGATGCTCCCTCCTCTGCTGTTTTTATGCTGTGTCTCCAATCGATTAATCTTTAACATCTGAGAAAACATTTCACCAGTGATTTATTTAACCTGAACCATCGCTGGGTTTCACTCATTTGGAAATTCCCTCATTTCAGTTTGGAGGCATTTTGTTTAGACAGTTTGGATATTTCAGATAATGCTAGCACTTTAACTTTGTATAAATCATTGTGTCTCTCTAAGTAACAGCTGTCTTAAAGCAAGGCAGCTTTATTTGTACAGCAGATGTCATACACAGAGGCAATGTGCTATACAAATAACGCTGTTTTGCCTAACAGTCACTAGGTGATAGAGCTAGGTAGATCTGGTATCATCTGCATAACTACGTTAGGCAATATTGTTATTGTTTATGAACTGACCCAGGGAGCAACACATTCTCACACCCAAAGCGGCTAAAAATAACGAAGGGTGACCAAGCGTTTGTTTCCTTTTCTACTCTTAGGTCTTGGACAAGAGATTGAAACAACTCAACACATAGGAAATATCATTACTCTCAGAAACATGGCGACTGAAGTTCTGCAGGCAAAAAGATCAATTCGGTACATCAATAAAGCCGTAGCCAAACATCGGAAATGGAAAATTTTTAAAACTATGAACAATTCAAGGCTAATTTGGGACTCCTGTGTCAAACCAAAGGGACTGTTAGGTGGACATATAAATATTAGAAGTTTTCTTTCCAAATGTGAACAAGTACAACATCTTCTGCAAGATTCAAATTTAGATTTTTTAGCGTTATCTGAATCTTGGTTGAAAGAAAACTCACCACAAGCGGCTATAAATATGCCTGGTTTTAATATTTTTAGGAATGATTGTAAACATGGAAAAGGTGGGGGCTTCATGTGTTATGTAAAAAAACAATATTAGATGTAATGCAATCAAAGGGATAGCATGTGACCTTGAATATCTTGGTCTAAACATTGTGCTTTCCCCAGAAATGTCATTCACTCTAATTGTTATCTACCGCCCACCTTCATCTAATGTCAGTTTTTATTAAATATTTAGAGAACTTTTGCTACAGTGTGATTTCAACAGAGAGGTGATTGTATTTGGTGATATGAATGTAAATTGGAAAGATAAGTCTGCAAGAAGCAACTCAAACAAGTAACTGACAGCTTTAATTTAATACAAATTATTAATGGCCCAACAAGAATCTCTCACTCCTCTAGCACTCAGATTGACCTAGTTTTTAGGAATAGGGTGGATAGAATAACTAAATCCTATAATTACATAACTGGGCTGTCAGATCATAATCTGATATTAATTGCTAGAAAAGTGAATGGAAAAAAATGTCTGATCTCAGGTCAGAGTATGGATTACATGAAGATACCAAGGAATAAAGTGGAGGAGTTTAAAGAAGGCTGTGCATGATATCAAATGGGATGACTTAATGAAATCAGAAAATCTAGACCACACCAGCCAGTGTTTTATAGATAAATTAAGTAAGATCACTAAAGAATTCTCAAAAAATGTAGTAAAAAAATGAATGGGGGCATGGATTAATGACAATATTCTACAGACTTAAATTTACAGCACTGAGAAACAAGGTGACAAGAGAACTTAGAAAAGACAAAGCACATTTCTTTCTTGAAATAATTGAAAATATTAGGGGAAACTCTAGAGTTATATAGCAGCAAATAAAGAAATTGACTGAACAGAGTAATGCTAGAAAAAAGATTGAACTGAGAATTAATGACACTCTAACAGATGACTCAACTGCTGTAGCTGAAGCCCTAAATCACTATTTTGTAGAATCTGTAGATGCTATTGCTACCAGTTTTCCATCACATCAACAATATATTTCAAAGGAACCAAAGTCCTTAGCACCAATCTTCACTTTTGAAAGAGTGTCGGAATGGCAGGTGTTAAGGGCTATTGAATCACTTAAACCTAAACTGTCAAAATATGTATATGAAATGAACTCTACTATGATTAGGGACGATGCCTGTTCATTAATTAAACCTATTACTCATATTATGAACATTTTGTTGACACAGGGCCAAGGGTGCTTCCCTCATTCCTGGAAGCCAGCAGTTGTAGTACATATTTTCAAGGGTGATGATTCTCATTTGGTTTCAAATTATAGACCAATAAATATTCTTCCAGGTATGTCCAAGATTGTAGAAAAGTTAGTGGCTAGTCAACTAATTAATCATCTTAATTCTAATCAACTCTTACACCCCATGCAACATGGCTTTAGGGCACATCACTCAACAGAAACAGCAACTGTTTACTTTGTTGAAAGGGTTAAGTCTATGATAGACAGAAGAGGGGTGGTTGGGGGAGTTTTTTTTTACATCTACGAAAAGCGTTTGACACTGTTAACCATGATATCCTCCAGTCTAAATTTGTTCAGTTTAGTTTTTCACAATTTACGTGCAGCTGGTTCAAATCATATCTCACGAACTCAATGTGTCAAAATACAAAACAACAGATCTTTTAAAGATCTTGTTACAGGTGTACCACAGGGCTCAGTCTTGGGTCCAATTCTATTCAGTCTTTACATTAACAACCTACCATTTGTGTGTCATGGTTGTGACATGCTTATGTAATCGGAGGGTTGCAGGTTCGATCACAGCTCCCAGCAGAGAATGCTGCTGCTGTGTCCTTAGGCAAGACATTTAACCCACCTTGCCTGCTGGTGGAGGTCTGCTGGTGCCAGTGGGGGGTTGCAGCACCCTAGAAGGGGATATTTTAAATGCAGACCATTTACAATATTCCATCACTCCACAAAATAGATGAAAACAAAATATTTTGAATTATTTTCCAATCACCTGCATGTACTTTTGGTCTCCATGTCCACTATTTTCCTCACCTTTCTTTTAACTTTGCTCCTTTCACATCATCAGCTCATCTAGTTGACCTTTGATAACCAGTCCTCCTAGTAGACACCATATTCAGTCTCATGGTTTTAGTGTTAGATCTTCTTCTTCTGCCAGTGTCTTTCTCTGTTCAACCATCCACTCAGTTTTAGTCTTCTGTGTTCTTTGCATTTGCACTAGGTGGTGTTGATCTAAATCAGCAGTGTCCAATCCAGATCCTCAAAGACCTGCATATTATAATTAGTGGGTGATTGACAGGCATCTGCCAAGCTTGATGACATAATAAACAGATGAGTCAACAAAGTGAACTGAAGCAAGGAAACAACCAAAATGTACTTAAAAGTGGCCCTTGAAGACCAAGTGTCATGGTCTGAGTCTGCATCTCCTAGGGTTGTCACGGTAACCGGTATAGCGGTAAACCCCGGTAAAAAAGTTGACAATAAAAATAACCGTCCAGTTTTTAAAAAACTAAATTATCTCGGTGGGTTTACCGTGGCCGCGGTTTAGGCGCGGTGACCCTTACCAGCCACCGTCGCTTCTGCCGAAGTTCCCGCGCACACGCACTTTTTACTTTGCAACCAAAACTTTAAAGCTGAAATAATGGCCGAAGGAGGAGACGGCAGCGCCCATGACATCCATCAGCCCTCAAAGAAGACTAAATCGGAAGTATGGGCATATTTTGGATTTCTGAAAAATGCTGAGGGACAGTTAATAGAAGACGGCTATCCCGTTTGCAGAACGTGCAGGAAACAAGTGTCTGCAAAAGGCAGCAACACTTCGAATCTAATGGCACATCTGAGTGGCCATCACCCACGTCTCTACAGCCACTGCAAGGTAAGTTAACATTAGCATTTTAGCTTAAATGCATGACGTGAGGACTTTTGGTTGAGGGAGAATACAACGAGTCACTATATACTGCAGCCGCAGCGTCCTCTGCCAGCATTTAAACCGTGTCACGGACACCCTGTTGCTGGATGAAGCATCTTATTTGTTGATGATGAAGAGAAATATACAATTAGTTCCTTGTCATTGATTTGTTTACTTATTCAATGCCATTTATACTTGAACATTTGGATTTGATTACATAGTGTAGTAGTTATTTTAGTAATTTGTTTAAAGTGGCTTCTTATTTTAAATACATATTTTTTAAGGTTGACTTGTACAGTGCTCAAGTCAAGTGTGGACTGGAGTTTTAGATTTTCATTTTGATAATGAAGAAAACAAGTATATGAGAAAACAAGTGGTGTTTCTTTGATTTGTTTACATATTGTTTATGTTTTGAATGTTTGGATTTGTATAATTTAAACCTGCACTGACTACTGTAACATGTTCCAGAAAAAGAAGCTATTTGTTCCTTTACTTGTGAAAAGTTGCACTTTTGCTAAGGCTTTGTGTTATTTTAGGTTTAATAAACACTGTTAAACCTTTTCAAACCTATTTCAGTTTGTGTAGAACAGGACTATCAATGCTTTCTGAACATATGCAACACCGTTTAAAAAATACCGCGATAATACCGAAAACCGTGATAATTTTGGTCACAATAACCGTGAGGTAACATTTTCATACCGTGACAACCCTAGCGTCTCCCCTCATGCTTCTCCTTATGTTCTCCATCCCTCTCTAGATTCTCCTTTTGTGTCTCCTAGCGCCCTCATGTGTCCTTGTCTGCGTCTTCCTCTTGTGTCTCCTGGTGTTCCCCATTTGCCCCCAGATCTTCAGCCCTCTAGGTTTCCCTACTCAGGAATCCACCTCCCAAGTCCTGTGCTCCCTTGGCCCTCTTTTAGTCACGCCCCTTTAGTTTTTCTTTCTGTAGTGTTTTCCTCTAGTTTCAGCTTCCCCCTTAGAATATTAGTTATGTTTGCTGCCCTTCAGGTCTTTAGGTTTTATTCTTAGGTCATTTTCCTTTAGTTACAGCTGTTCATGTTATTAGTCTCTCTAGTGTGTTTTTCCCATCGGTGTTTGAGGTTTTTTCCTCCTCCTTAGATTATGTTCCTGCTCTTCTTGTCTTTAGTTTTATTCTTAGGTCAGGTTCGTTTCCTCCCTAATTAGTAATTGAGTTCACCTGGTCTCTCTCTCCCCACACACCTGCAGTTCATCTCCCTCTCATCTTCCCCAGTGTATATAACCCTGTCTGTGTCTCTGTGTGTTTGTTGGTCCATTGTTTCTGTCAGACTTGTCTCACTTGTCCTCTAGTGTTCCAGTGCTTCTAGTGTTTCTAGTTTCTAGTGTTTTTGGATCTCTTATTTAGTCTCTTCGATGTTTTTGGCTTCCTGCCCTTTGGATTTTATTTCTGTTCATCCTCAATAAAGGATTTTACTTAATCTCCACTCCTGCCTCGTGTTGTCCTGGGTTCTGCATTTTGGGTCCTAACCTCCTCCTGGCTCGCATCGTGACAAAAAGTGTGCACCTAAATAGTGCCACTAAGTTATTTACTAATCACCAGCTCAGACATAAACCACATGTAGCCAATGAGCATCTCACTGTGTTCGTTTATCTCTTTCATTAGTTTATTTATATTTAATAATGTTCAAAATGTTATTACAATATTATTACAGGTGGTCACAAATTTAGGCTTTTGGTTAAATAAGATATTCTCCATCTTGGTATCTCAAAGGAAACATAAAACAGGTATAACAAGATTTGACAAATTCACAATTAAATTTTCTTTATATCTTCTTCGTGGGTATGTTAAAACCTGTTGCACTTTTACATTCATGTCACTCAAACAGTCCACGATGTACCTAAATATCAATTCTAAAAAAATGTTATTCTGACCATTTGTTTTTACATTTGAGTCACCAGAAATCCACTGAATGTTGTGTGATAATCAGATCCATAAACATGTGTGTCGTATTCCATTTTAACAAACATCTGATCCCCTTGTTGCAGCTGCAGGAACACGGCGTTCCCTCCGTTATCAGCTGTGTCTGACTTTGAAGGGTGATCTTGGGTCAGGACAACTAGCTCATGGTTCTTGTAGAGAACCAGCTTTGAGTCATATTCTCCTCCAGCGTGATAGAAGAAGGTGAAGTAATAAACACCTGCCACTGGTGCAGTGAAGATACCTATGAAATGATGCACAGCATGAAGGAAAGGTTTAAGATAATCATCATCTACCACAGAATACACAACAGGTTCTGTATAGTCTTCAAATGAAAACACGTCTTACATACAAATATCCTCATTTTGTGATGTCTTTACCTGAGGATGTATTGTAGGCGTCCCCAATATTTGTTAAAACTCTTTCATATATTAAAGTTGTGTTTGTGTCAACTGGTCCAATGACTCCCTCTTCTCCCACTGCCACACTGAATATCACCTTTGTGCTTGCTTTGTGCAGAAAATTACAAAAAACATGCAAATAGACACTGAATAAATGCTATTTTAAAACTAATTTATTCAGCTCAGAAATTCAGACTTTACCTTTCTTCATCAGGTTTTCCAGAGCTTCCACTTTAGCTTTCAGTGACTCCAACTCTCCAGCAGAGGAAGAGTCCTTATCAGAGGCTGCAGGTTTTGAAACGTCTGAATCCTGAGCCGAGCTCAGGCTGCAGCAGAATGACACCAAGAGACACAAGAGAAGATGCATCTTCATCTCTGTCTTCTTCAAGTTAAACTGACAGACCAAGCTATTTCACAAAGGTTAACCTACGTCATTTGTTGACTTTGTGTCCTCAACCAAACACTGCTCGATAAACAGAGATGAAAGTTCATCTTGATTTTGATCAAATTTGTAATGTTATTTGTTTTTATATGTTTGGAAATGAGTCAAGAGTCAGCGCTTTCTTTATTCCAATCTGATAACAACCCTTGTGAAATGCTGGTTCCTGCTAAGTCAGTGGTTTGCAGAGACTCACAAATATTTCCTCAGTAAAGTGATTATACAGTGATTTCATTTCAGAAATGGGGGCTTGTCCGGGAAATAAACACAGTACTATGCACAAGTGAGAGAACCTGGGTTTATTCACCCCTCTTTCATAGTTTTTAGGATCAAACATGTTTTTTGGGCCAAAGGAAAGGGGATTGGAGTAGTTCTGGTTGATTCCTGGAGGAACACTCTTTTATTTACGCTGCACTACTTTTTGCTGGATGAGTAAATGAGCTTTTTAATGTAACGTTAAGGACACATGAGTGAACTGTGGGTCTTAACAGATAAAGAACAAAGTCACCCCTCCTCACATCACATTCAAAGTTACATTTATAAAATAGCGAGACATTACATTTCCCAGACCACCATCCTAGTTTTACTTCATATAATAATTAAACATAATGATGAATGTTATTTAGCTTTACCAGTGTAGGGTTTTGTAAATTGAGTGCTTTAAGAGCTCAACAGATATATTACCTCTACTCATGACCAATAAGCTATGATACTCTATCTAAACATAGAATATCAACCCTGCTTGGTCTTCATTGTGCTTTAATCAGAAGATTCTAGGATTCTTTATTTATTAGTGGATTGTACACACTTCGTTTTGATTCAGAAAACACTCAGGTTTATAAAAGTAAGAACTTATTTTACCAACACTTAAAACACGACAAATTAACTAACATTTACTGTGATGGATGGAACTAGATGTGATGTATGAAACCTATGTGTGAATGCAATGTTAGTCAGAACCTCTGTATCTCGGAGAGCTGCGTTCTGGATGTAAAATAATTTGGTTTCCGTAAATCTATGAAGTTGATTATTATCAAAAACCACATCAGACGCTATCTGTGTGTCTACATTACCCGTTTTCAGAGACCCTCTTGGTGGATCCGAAGGTCAGAGAGGTCGGATGGCCTCTGGCACCGGAGGGCTGTGGAATACCGTGGCACCGACCCTTCAGGCCTAGTCCACACATAGCCGGGGTTTTCTGAAAACGAATATCTGCCCCTCCAAAAACTTGCATCCACACCACCGCGTTTTAAAAACAAACTCTGTCCACACGTACCCGGATAAATACGTTGTTAAGGACATGCCAGACCTGTAGGCGGCAGTACTTCCCCCGTTCTTAACCTCGTCCTTCGTCTGTGGTCTTCCGCAAGGAGCAGTAATGCCGCTTGCAAAAACAAACAAGCAGAAAGCGCTTGGACAATTGATGGATCGGGTAGTGACAGAGCGCAGCTCTGAGGGCTTCCATGCTGTCGGCTAGTGTAAACACAGGTCGCACACGTGATGTCAGCATTTTTTGTCGTGGAAAGTGACGCTGCGGACCTTAAAACTCCAGTTTTGTCCGTCCACACGCAGACACCCAAAACGGAGAAAACGCAGATCTTCACTTTGGCCGGAGTTTTTAAAAAGATCCGTTTTCGTGTGAAAAAACTCCGTTTTCGTGTGGATGACAGGCCAAAACGTAGAAAAATATCTACGTTTTGGCAGATCCCCGGCTACGTGTGGACAGGGCCTCAGTCCAGAGGTGTCTCAGGTCACAACAGATGGATGGAACCGCGTGTCTGAGACTCTTACGGAGTCTAAACAATATCCGCTTGTTCTGCAGGAACCGTTTGCTTTATCAGCTTTACAGGTGCAAAAAGGTTTTGATGATGTGTCAAAAGCTTTGGTGGTTAAAGAGGTGTGCTTCAGGTGGCCAGTCTGAAGCTTCTCTATAACTGATGAATCACCAGAGTGATCTGGTTTAATGTTCTCATGCTATGATTGTGTAGCCAACCAGAGGTTGACAAGTTTGAGGGATATTACCAAGAATCTCAGAAACACACGCCCTCTTTGACACCGGAGGCTCTGAACTGAGGTAAAGGTTATTTATGTGTCATGAGATTTAACTTTACCTTACTTGTTCTTGTGTGAGTGCAAATGTTATGACCTGGTCAAGTAAACATGCTGAAACATATTTCATTGAGCACAGATTAATGAAACATTTCAATATTTTATAATTATTATAAGTAACAATAAACAAATGTTCATTTAATGATTATTTAACTTTATTAGTTGTGGAAGTTCATCTTTAATTTTAAAATCTTTCTTCTGTGAAGCAATCAGACTTAGATAAGAAGGTGCTCTGTGAGGGACCTTGAGGAGAGAATGTTATTGTTATGATTTCATTATCTCTGTCAGAGCTGCAGGCTCTGAGCTCCAGCTGGTGGGATGAAGGCAGGCTGATTTAAAGGGAACACATGCAGTCTCGTGTCTCCTTTTTGACCAGATGTTGAATGGTCAAACAGCACCTAAGAACTGACCATTGCTGGACGCTACACCAGAGAAATTAATTTTTAGAACATTTTTAAAAGAAAGCAGAAACTTGAGATGTTATAAATTTTATTTCCCAGAACACAAGTCCTCCAGGATAATCTTAAGACTCCTCAGTGAGTTTAGGTTAAGTTTCTTTAATAGTTGTAAAATAAACTGTTTCTTTCTGATCAAGTGCAAGTTTTAGTTCCACTGAAACAGGATAACAGTGAACTGAATAAGATGAAAACAACGAAGAGAGTTCTGCTGTCTTGGGTTGAGGATGTTTGGTAGCTTAGAGTCTCTGTTTCATTTACACTCTTTGTTAACAGCAGAGATCAGAGAGAAGCCACAAGAGAAATGTCTCTGATTTAAACTGTTGCTTTGCTCATTATCGTCTGAGATGGAAATCCTCAGCTGAACTGGAGACCTGCTTCCTAACTGACAGTGTTTCTCATCCGGTCGCTGCGACTGTCCGGTCTGGAAAAACAAGCAGTAAAAAATGAAGAGAAGATGGTAACGCTGGTACCATTAGTGACAGAGGACATAAAAAAAGTTATTATTCATCATCCTCATCATCGTCTTCATCCTCATCCTCATCATCATCATCATCATCTTCATAGTTGTCATCGTCATCGTCGTCTTCATCATCATCATCATCTTCATCATTGTCATCATCATCTTCATCGTCGTCATCGTCGTTATCATCATCTTCATCATCATCATTGTTGTCGTCATCTTCATCATCGTCATCATCTTCATCGTCGTCGTCGTCATCTTCATCATCGTCATCTGGATCTATTTTCCCAGACAGAACGTCTTCTATCCATTGTTCTAGCTCATCAGCTGTTGGCATGTCGTCCTGGTCATCCATTTCCATCCAGACGCTGTCAGCCTGTCAACGACAGACCGTGTAAACAAAAACAGCTGCTGATTGCGTCGTTAAACAAACATCATTTTGTAACAAACGTATGCATAGATGTATTTGGTAAAACACTTGGTTTTCTCAAAACTTTATTTAGTTATTTACAATCCCAACTCAAAATATTCCACCTAAGCGACTGAAAAATAAATTTTACTCATATATTAAAACCCTCATTTTGAAATGCGAGGGGCTCTGGTGAATCAATATAAAATCAATCAGGGATTTTAAGATGAAGTTCTCTGGGAACCAAAACCAAACCTGCTCATTTGTATCAAAAGCCTAGTTTCTACTTCTTCGTCTGCGTCGGTACGGCGACACGCTGCACCATTATCAACGGTCACAAGGCTCTTCAAAAGGCTCGCAAGGACGGACGGAGTAAAGCCCTATTTTCTAACTACAATGCTGCTTCCTTTCACTTCATCAACAGCACCACCATACCCGGTGCGTCTGAAGAACGTCTCGCTGTAAACGTTCAGTGATATGAACTTCAATAAAACCATGACCAAGGGAGTACAAAGATACACAGCTAACTTTTTATTCGTGTCAGGAAATTACAGGAAACGTGAGTTTGGAGGTGCTGACTGGATGAAGAGGATGCGCTACAAATTGGTTTGTGTTAAAAAGTCTGTAAAATACATTAATACAATGTAAACACACAACAGTAAGTCTACTGGGCACCTGACTGTAATGATGCCAGGATAGCACTACGCTCTCTGCTGTCCTGGTGGAGAATTACTTCACAACGCTGACACACCAACGGGGTGATATAAAATGAAAATGTGTCCGCCAACACGAGTGCATGTGAGTGCAAAGTTGTTGATGAAGAACTATAACTTCAAAACCAGCGGTTACCACTAATGAATTCAAGTGATATTTCACTATAATAATATGGCAGATTTGAAAGACAAAAGTCATTCTACAATTTAAACCAACTCATTTAAAATGTGTTCTGATGTGATACAACTGCATCTGATTTGTCAGACAGGTTTTTGTTTCCAGATAAACTTAGAACTACCTCCATCTTCATTGTCAAACATGGTGATGGCAGAATCATGATTTGTGGATGGTTTGGTACATTATTGGATCAGAGGATTAGTCAGGCTAAAGTAAAATGTTTGGAGAAAACTACTGGGAACTTTAGATGAAACACCAGATCTGTATGTAGAACCAACTTATTATTTTTAGTTAAACAAATAACTTAAAACTTATTTCTCTTCTAAGTTCCCTGTATAGGGTCAAAAGAAGTTTACTCACATCCTGGACATCAACTACACCGATCTGAGGAGATGAAAGGGCAATTCCAAACGTTTTCTCCCAGTATGGAACAAGCTGAAAATGAAAGAATGAAGGAAACATAAAGCCTAATGTATGATGACACACCCAAGTGTTGGTTTACAAAAAGTTTGATTTATCCTTGATTTTAGATCTCTGTATCACATGTTCTACGTCAGGGGTCCTCAACTAGATTTGTTCAAGGGCCAGAGTTCTTTCCAGCAGCCAGATGCTCTTCTAAAAATAAGTTTAAGAATAATTCATATTATTTAAATATTAGTAATATTTAAATTTTCTGCTTTCCATCTAAACTGTTTTGATTGTAGTTTTAATGTGTTTGGAGAATTTAGAAAATTATTGATTTGAGGGACTTGAATTTTGCTGCCAAACTCCAAGTCTCTCAATTGGAGAGCGTTGGGGCCAAAAAAGTTGTGGGTCTGGCAGGCCGGATTTGGCCCGCAAGTTCAGGTTCACTGTCATATGGTATACTAAAGTATAAATACAAGCGTTTCTGGAGTTTCAGAGGCTTTATTGTCAATATATGAAATGTATGCATAGTGTCATTGTTTGCAGTGTTGGCCCTCTATTTTCAAGACTTCTGCGTTTTACCCTGACTTGCTGTCAATCAGTGTCGGATCTAAAAAATGTTTTATTGGGTGGCAGAAGACGAGCAAACATTTTTCTAGGGTGGCAATGCGTACATACACACAGATTATATATATATATAGGTATATACATACATCTATATGTAATCTTTGTCCAATTTAGATAACCCTCAAGGGAGGTGAGAACAGTCTTCGGAGCATCAGGGAGGGAAAAATCAACAGTGTCAATCAACTCTTATCTAAAACATGACTGATGGCAGCTCATTCTTGTATTATCTAGGCTTGGAGTTTGTCAGAATTCTGGGTTTTTGTTCATCCACCCATCTTTTGAGGCTTGACGACACAGGGAGTTTCTTGGCTCTGTAGCCATGATGTCCAAATCAATTAGTTCTTCTGACTAACACCCAATAGTATGGCTATACAGTGTGCTGATTGCATGGTTGGGACTTTTTCTCTTGGAAAACGTTCAGGCACCATATAGTCTGTGTTCTGAGTCTAAACTGTGATCACGTCAGCTCCATTGGCTGGGATGCAAACCCACAAGGCCTTGGGATGCTTTACTGTTGGAATGACACAGGACTGATGATTGTCTCATCTTTTCATATCAGGACAATCCAACCACAAAAATCATTACTCAGAGAGAATTTAGTCAGTACGGCGTACATTTTAGGACATCCTCAGGTGTCAGGTATCAGGACTCAGGTGTCAGACTTCAGACCATGGGGAAAAAGCGTCGGGTTTCAGGAAAACCTGCTTCAGAACGCATGCTCAGGTCTCAGTTGTCAGACGTCGTCTGAGTCGTGGTGCTTTCGGACAACGGCAGGGGAGTGGGGACAACCATGGTGCGAGTCCCGCATCCCAGCCTCCCCGACACCCCCGCTGTTGTCCGAAAGCGCCAGAGCCACGCCGAGCCGACCAAACTCTGTGCGCCCGTAGCTCGCTGTCCCTTTACCCTGTGTGCCCCACCGGTTCCGAAACAGCCTGCGCCTATAAAGCGACCCCCACCCTAGACAGGGGAGGCCATGGTGACTGGGCTGTGGACGGCCACTGGGACCGGAGTATGGGGACTTGCGAGGTGCGGGACGCGGAGAGGCCCAGCGTGCTCCTCCGACGCCCTAGGACGTTGTCTGAAAGCACCAGAGCGACGCCGAGCCGACCCAACTCTGTGCGCCCGTAGCTCGCTGCCCCTTTACAATTGAGACCTGAGAACTGATAACTGAGACCTGAGAACTGATAACTGAGACCTGACACCTGAGACCTGATAACTGAGACCTGACAACTCAGACCTGACACCTGACAACTGAGACCTGAGAACTGATAACTGAGACCTGAGAACTGACAACTGAGACCTGAGAACTGATAACTGAGACCTGAGAACTGATAACTGAGACCTGACACCTGAGACCTGATAACTGAGACCTGACAACTCAGACCTGACACCTGATAACTGAGACCTGAGAACTGATAACTGAGACCTGAGAACTGATAACTGAGACCTGACACCTGAGACCTGATAACTGAGACCTGACAACTCAGACCTGACACCTGATAACTGAGACCTGAGAACTGATAACTGAGACCTGAGAACTGATAACTGAGACCTGACACCTGAGACCTGATAACTGAGACCTGACAACTCAGACCTGACACCTGACAACTGAGACCTGAGAACTGACAACTGAGACCTGAGAACTGACAACTGAGACCTGAGAACTGATAACTGAGACCTGAGAACTGATAACTGAGACCTGAGAACTGATAACTGACAACTGAGGATGTCCTAAAATGTACGCCGTAAGTCATCTAGTGGACATAGACCCTTAGATGAACACCAGTCCATACTTGATCTTTTTCTTAATGAGAAGTGGCTTCTTTACTGCCCTTCTTGACACGTAACTCTGCAGCTGAGTAATCTATTGAAGACAGTCCTATAACTCCCTTGGGGCATCCTGAAGTTTTCTTTACAAATGCAATAGAAAAAGAGCTTTGGGGATTCAGTTAAGATTCATGGCAAAAATAGAATGGTTCACTCTTCAGAAGGCATTTGAGTCTATGCAAACTGCCATCATAAAACTGAGGCAGCAGACTTTGTGATGATACATATTTGTGTCCTTCTTCAACTTTCCAGCCACAACTGAACATGTGAGGGGTGGATGAAAAAGCACTAACCAAAGAGGTGAAATAGCAGGAAGTATTCATACCAGGGGGAAATTGTCTGGGTCAATCCAGATGATGCTTAGGTTGGGGTTATCAGTGTTGTCACGCGCCACTTCCTTTAAAATTTCCAGGAATTCAAACCCATCTGTGGAAAAACGTACAGGTCAGAGTAGTTCCTGTGACTGACATCCTTTTAACAGCTTTTGTAGATGTGTCGGTGTGTGGTTAGTTAACATGTGATGATGAAAGGACTCTAAAGAGGAATTCACCTGGGTCGTCCTCTTCAGCAAAGGCAACAATGTGCTCTCCATCAATGTCATCCTCCTGTGTGAACACAATGCAACGTTAGTGGGTTCATCAATTAACCCACAATGGACAGAACACCCTACCTAAACCAAAGGCATTGTAGCGTCTGCGCCACCCTCTAGCAGGGTGTGTGTGAAGCAGCAAAGAAGACATAGAACACTTTTAATAGCCGGATGGCTTCGCTTTTCATCCCCCCCACACATACATTTAACTCACGGTGCCAACAGGCACCGGATAAGAACAACACAGCGTGAACACCGAACTGAAACAAACAACACTAGCATAACCCCGAACAATATAACCCCCAAAACACCACAAGCGGAATAAACAAACCCAATTTACCCTCCCCCCAGAGTGCAATGCGGCCTTGCCGGCCTATCAGCGGCAGGGCCGCCACAATATGAATAATAAGTTTAAATATTTTAACAACAGATATTTTGGATTGCTTACCCAGATCTCGTACATGCTGTAGGGTTCGAGCTTTCTCAGAGTTGGTCTGAAACAGTGAAAGATTTTAAAAAATGTCTTGTGAATTTGTGCCAGAACCATTTATGATGAGAAAATCATGTTTTTAGTCTGTTTTCTGGATGATTTATTTTATGTGTAAATGAAATGAACAATATCAAAGCTGTTATAAATAACAGAGATGTTCTAAGGCTTATTCCAGGATGAAATAAATACTCACCTGTCATGCTGTTCAATGTATGCAATGAGCTCTGACTCGATGTACGGTTTTCCTGGAATGGTGACAGGTTCGTCCATGAATGGCTCGTAAAAATCTACTTCATTTATTTTCAGTTTTAGCTTCTTGGCAATCTAAGAAACAGATGAAAGAAGAAGTTGTAATGTAGTCTCGTAGGAAGGGCAGGGTAACCCAACTAAACATCATAAAAACAGAGCAGGCGTGTCAGGAAAAGCCTCATTCATTTTCACTTCTAACGATGTGTGCCAAACGTTATGAGATCTCCTCCTTGAACCGTCACCTTATCGTGGTGGAGGAGTTTGAGTGCCCTAATGATCCTAGGAGCTATGTTGTCTGGGGCACTTAGTGCCCCTGGTAGGGTCTCCCATGACAAATTGGTCTGAGGTGAAGGGTGAGACAAAGAACGGTTCGAAGGATCTTTCATGGCGGATAAAACGAAGAGTCGGAGTACCCGGCCCGGAGGGTTACCGGGGTCCCACCCTGGAGCCAGGCCTGGGGTTGGGGCCCGTGAGCGAGCGCCTGGTGGCCGGGCTTTCGCCCATGGGGCCCGGCCGGGCCCAGCCCGAACCGGATACATGGGCTCGTCCAACTGTGGACCCACCACCCGCAGGAGGAACATGAAGGGTCCGGTGCAATGCGAATCGGGTGGCAGACCAAGGCGGGAGCCTTGGCGGTCCAATCCCCGTACAAGAAAACTAGTTTTTGGGACATGGAACGTCACCTCGCTGGCGGGGAAGGAGCCGGAGCTTGTGGCAGAGGTTGAGCGGTACCGGCTAGATATAGTCGGACTCACCTCGACACATTGCATTGGCTCTGGAACCCGAGACCTGGAGAGGGGTTTGACACTCTACTTTGCTGGAGTTGCTCCGGGTGACTCCGGAGGGCTGGGGTTGGCTTTTTGTTAGCCCCGAGACTCTCTGCCTGTGTGTTGGGGTTTACCCCGGGGGACAAGAGGGTAGCTTCCTTGCGCCTTCGGCTCGGGGAACGGGTCCTGACTGTTGTTTGTGCTTATGGGCCAAATATCAGTTCAGAGTACCCACCCTTTTTGGAGTCCCTGGGACGAGTGCTAGATAGTGCTCCATCAGGGGACTCCATTGTCCTGCTGGGGGACTTCAATGCTCACGTGGGCAATGACAGCTTGACCTGGAGGGGTGTGATTGGGAGGAACGGCCCACCTAATCTGAACTCGAGCGGTGTTTTGTTATTGGACTTCTGTGCAAGCCGCAGTTTGGCCATAACGAACACCATGTTCGAACATAAGGATGCCCACCGGTACACTTGGTACCAGGACAGCCTAGGTCACAGGTCGATGATAGATTTTGTAGTCGTATCATCTGACCTGCGGCCGTATGTTTTGGACACCCGAGTGAAGAGAGGGGCGGAGCTGTCAACTGATCACCACCTGGTGGTGAGTTGGATCAGATGGCAAGGGAACATGCCGCGTAGACCTGGCAGACCCAAACGCATAGTGAGGGTCTGCTGGGAACGCCTGGCAGAAGAACCTGTCAAGACGGTCTTCAACTCCCACCTCCGGCAGAGCTTTGACCACGTCCCGAGAGCAGTGGGGGACATTGAGTCCGAGTGGGCCTTGTTCCACTCTGCGATTGTCGAGGCGGCTGTTGCTAGCTGTGGTCGTAAGGTGGCCGGTGCCAGTCGTGGTGGCAACCCCCGTACCCGCTGGTGGACACCAGAGGTTCGGGGAGCCGTCAGGCTGAAGAAGGAGGCCTACAGGGCGTGGCTGGTCTGTGGGTCTCCGGAGGCAGCAGACAGGTACCGGATAGCCAAGCGGGGTGCAGCAGTGGCAGTTGCCGAGGCAAAATCTCGGGCGTGGGAGGAGTTTGGTGAGGCCATGGAGAAAGACTATCGATCGGCTCCAAAGAGGTTCTGGCAAACTGTCCGGCGCCTCAGGAGAGGAAGGCAGCAACTCGCTCACACTGTTTACAGTGGGGATGGGGAGCTGCTGACGTCAACTGAGGCTATAGTCGGACGGTGGAAGGAATACTTTGAGGAGCTCCTCAATCCCACCAATGCGCATTCCGAGGAGGAACCAGAGCTGGGAGGCCTGGGGATGGACTGTCCGATCTCGGGGGCAGAAGTTGCTGAGGTAGTCAAACAACTACACAGCGGCGGAGCCCCGGGGGCGGATGAGGTTCGTCCTGGGTATCTCAAGGCTATGGATGTTGTAGGGCTGTCATGGTTGACACGTCTCTACAACATTGCGTGGTCATCGGGGGCAGTTCCTAGGGAGTGGCAGACCGGGGTGGTGGTCCCCATCTTTAAGAAGGGTGACCTGAGGGTGTGTTCCAACTATAGGGGGATCACACTCCTCAGCCTCCCTGGAAAGGTCTACGCCAAGGTACTGGAGAGGAGGGTCCGATCGATAGTTGAATCTCAGATAGAGGAGGAGCAATGTGGTTTTCGTCCTGGCCGTGGAACTGTGGACCAGCTCTATACCCTTGCAAGGGTGATGGAGGGGGCATGGGAGTTTGCCCAACCAATCCACATGTGCTTTGTGGATTTGGAGAAGGCTTATGACCGTGTCCCCAGGGGCACCCTGTGGGGGACGCTCCAGGAGTATGGGGTGGGTGGCTTTCTGTTAAGGGCCATTCAGTCCCTTTACCAGAGGAGCGTGAGTTTGGTCCGCATAGCCGGTAGTAAGTCGGACCTGTTCCCAGTGAGGGTTGGACTCCGCCAGGGCTGCCCTTTGTCACCGGTTCTGTTCATCACTTTTATGGACAGAATTTCTAGACGCAGCCGTGGTGTGGAGTGTGTCGAGTTTGGTGGCAGGAGAATCTCGTCTCTGCTTTTTGCGGATGATGTGGTCCTCCTAGCTTCATCCAGCTCTGACCTTCAGCTCTTGCTGGGCAGGTTCGCGGCCGAATGTGAAGCGGCTGGGATGAGGATCAGCACCTCCAAATCTGAGACCATGGTTCTCGACCGGAAAAGGGTGGCTTGCCACCTCCGGGTCGGGGGAGAGGTCCTACCTCAAGTGGAGGAGTTTAAGTATCTCGGGGTCTTGTTCACGAGTGAGGGTAGGAGGGATCGGGAGATCGACAGGCGGATTGGTTCGGCGTCTGCAGTGATGCGGACGCTGAGCCGATCTGTCGTGGGGAAGAGGGAGCTGAGCCAGAAAGCCAGGCTCTCGATTTACCGGTCGATCTACGTCCCAATCCTCACCTATGGTCATGAGCTTTGGGTAATGACCGAAAGAACGAGATCGCGGATACAAGCAGCCGAAATGAGTTTCCTCCGTAGGGTGGCCGGGCTCAGCCTTAGAGATAGGGTGAGGAGCTCGGACATTCGGGAGGGACTCGGAGTAGAACCGCTGCTCCTCCGGATCGAAAGGAGCCAGTTGAGGTGGTTTGGGCATCTGGTCAGGATGCCTCCTGGACGCCTCCCCGGGGAGGTGTTTCGGGCATGTCCTGCCGGCAGAAGGCCCCCGGGTCGACCCAGGACACGTTGGAGAGGTTACATCTCCAATCTGGTCCGGGAACGCCTTGGGGTCCTGCCGGAGGAGCTGGTGGACAAGGCCGGGGAGAGGACGGCCTGGAGCTCCCTAATTGGGATGCTGCCCCCGCGACCCGGACCCGGATAAGCGGAGGAAGATGAAGACGAAGACGAAGACGTTATGAGATTTACAAATAATGGTGGTGATATCCAGCGGCTGGTTTGCTGTCAGAATAGAATACTTCTATATTAGGGAACTTTACAGCGGTTTGTTTAACCCAGAGTGAAACAACCATAACCTAAAGTCACTATCTGCCAGGAAAAATATAGCAGAACACGTTCAGTGTGCATAAATACATGATAGTGCACCAGTACATGAACGCTCAAAGCAATCAGTTTATACCTTTGGGTCAAATGTTGCATAAAACTTGACAAAGGGGTGGAACTCCTCAGCAGCGTCGTCATATTCAATAAAATCTGAGTGGCAGAACGAACCGAAAAACATGACTTATGAGTTTAAAGCATAAATCACGTCCAACAAAAGAGTTTTATGGTTCTAACTAAAAGCCTACGAGGGGATCTGTCGCTCTTGAAGTAGCCAACCAGCCTGATGACATCATCCATGTTATAGAAACCCTTCAGCTCACGATCATTGTCGATTATCTCCACTGGGTCCTCGATCACCTGACAGGAGAGGCACAAGATTAATTATGTTTATATTGTTCACATCAATAACAATACTGATGCTTCTGAATGCAGGATTACTCCAAACTCCTTGGTGTGGCCTGTCATCAATAATCAGAAGGTACTTACATCATAGAGGAACTCAACAATGGTGTCTGCAGCCAGCTCTCCGTCGTACTCTATTATCTCATTATCTGCAAAGATGTAGATGCTCTCCACTTCATCCAGACCTGGTGTAATCGACAGAAATGTTTAAGTCAAGTAAACTTTTACTTAATCATTTGTCATCTCCAAGCCTTAACTAGATTTCATTCATTAGTTTTTCTCTCTTGCCACATCATGTTGAAAATAATCAATTTCCCTCTAGGATTAATGAAGTATTTTTGAATTAAATTAAATTAAATTAAATTAAATTAAATTAAATTAAATTAAATTAAATTAAATTGAATTAAATTGAATTGAATTGAATTGAATTGAATTGAAATGAATTGAATTGAATTGAAATCAATAGATACTGATGAACTTTGAGTCTTTGCATTCGTCCAAGTACGACCAAACATTAAACAAACATTAAACAAACATTTACCAACAGCAGCAGCTTCTCAAAGCAAAGCAGCTCTTTACTTCATACCAGGAACAGTTTCAACAAGAGTGCCTACAGATAAAGGTCTGACGTCTAAGCCTGGTATTAGGGAATGCTTTTATAAGTTGAGAGGCTCAAGGCCCCATAATGGAGCTGCTATTTACTGGTTCCTTAAACAAAAGACAGCTAAGACTCAGTTTGGTTTCCAGAGCCAGACAGCCAACACAAATATGTGTTATTACATCAAACCCAACATCGCTGAGTAAATGACTGATCCTTCCTCTTTTGTAGATGGTCACAGTTGAGGAAGACAATGATCACAGGGGTTGTCTTTCCAATCCTGCAAATGGATGTCTTCATATCACCAGTATGCTTTATAAAAGCTAGTTTTAAGACAACAGAAGCCGTATGGCTGTTTGTAGACTGTACGTTGTCTAGAAGCAGCTGTCATATCACTGGTGAACACTTGGGGGCAGTGGTGGATCAAATGTGGCTATACACTGCATAGTTCACAACACTTGGGTGTCTCCTAAAATAAATGGGTTTAAAAGATTCTCATCCTTTTAAAAAATCAGATACTTATGCTTATCTTTCATGTGATTGCCTTAAATAAAAACTTCCTTAAGCTGGAGGAGAACATTTGTATTCCTTGTGATTCTGACGTGGTTTCACCTCAACCATCACCGTGGCTCTGCCAAGCTTACCTAGCTTCTTGGCAACAGCAGAGGCCTTCTTTTCATCCACCAGGCCGAACCCGATGTCCTCATCTTCAAGTTCATCCAGAACCTGGGCTGCGAGCTAGACAGCGTGGTAGAGACACAAGAAGGTGAGGGAGAAGAGGCGACAGGCAGATCAAATGAAAGCTGATTTATAGCTTATCTTTCCAAATCCTTGCTTACCATCAAATACTTACTTTGGGTTTTATTTGCTTGTGTGAAACCTGGTATTGCCTCTCAGTTTCAAGGCCTTAAAGCAGCACATCAAGTGCTGCCTTGAACTTTCTAAATCTGAATGAAACCAAAGCCAACAACGGACAAGCCTCGTAGCGCACACTGTAAACAGAAGGACTTCCTGGCGATCACAGGAACAGGAGCAGCAGACCTGGAGCCAAATGTGTCAAAGGCAAGAGACGCTGCAACAGGTGTGTTGGAAAGAAGAGGAAGCACACATGATGCCACATGTACATCCAGTTTGGAGCACAGCCCATTCTTTTATAAAAGATCAGCTTCCAAACTTGAACAGTAAACAGCCATCTCCATACTTTTTCATATCATCAAGACTGGCCCTCTGGACTTTGTGTGACGCGGGTGTAAAGCAGTGCAGCAGCTCGCAAAGCAGCATTGCAAAATGATTTCACACTGTAAGCAACCAGCTGGCCTGCAGCACAAGCATAAATAGCTGGACACTATTTATAGTATGTAGCTCTCTGCAGACTGTGTCTAAAGTCACTCATTCTCTTGGTCCTTTAGAGCTGAGCTGATTCTCGTTGAATAGGTCAGGTTATCACCATGAAACAGCCAAGTGTTTGGTTTTGTTTATGTTTGAATAAGATTGTTCATTTCTGAGTTTAGTGTCTTCTTTCAGAAAAATCTGAATCAGAACCAATGCATATCTCTTACTCTGAGGCTGCCTGTCAAGGCCTAGAAAATACCTTCTAGCTAACCTGGCCCACTACTTTGTCCTCAGCATCTGCAAACATTTGATTTTCTATGTAGAGTCAGACTATAGGTTAGCCCAGATGAGCTTCTTTCTATGAGTTCAGGAGAGGAGCTCCTTCATCTAAAGGGAGCTCCAAGTAGAGCTGCTACTCTTCCTCAGTAGGTCTGCGGAGATGTTTTAAAGTTCTGATTGTCTTCTTCTGAAGGTTTTTCAGGAATGGCCACCAAGGAGGAGAACTTTAGGTTACTATCGTAACCCCGGTTCTCTGAGTAACATGAGTGAGATGTCTCACTATGGGATACGCCCCTCCGCGGATTCCTCAGAAGCACTTATCTCAATACGCCAATCCTGATTGGCCAGTGACCGTGACGTACGCGTCTCCCTGCTACTATAAGTAGCAAGCGTCCCCACGCACGCACTATTCAAGATAAACACCTCTTCTCGCTTCGCCCAGCAAGAAGGGTTGTCTGGTGAGACATCTCACTCATGTTACTCAGAGAACCGGGGTTACGATAGTAACCTAAAGTTCTCTTTCTTAACATTCGTTTCGATGTCTCACTATGGGATATAGAGACTCCCGTATTGCCAGACAGCTTATCCAGCGATCACCAACCTACAGGGATACGTCTTGGCCCGCCAAAGACCCCACACTCAGAATCGTGTGAGTCATTGCAGGGACCGAAACATCAAGCTTATAGAAGCGTGCAAATGCAAGTGGAGAAGCCCAACTTGCTGCAGCACAAATCTCCTGGATTGACAGCCCCCGAAAAAGGGCCCAAGAAGCAGACAGGCCCCTAGTAGAATGGGCCCTGAGCCCAACAGGTGCCTGAATGCCCTTACAGGAGTAAGCCATAGAAATAGCCTCCACAATCCAGTGGGAAAGCCGTTGCTTTGTGACGGGTTTCCCCTTACGAGGCCCACCCCATGACACAAAAAGCTGGTCCCCCCTGCGAAGGTTCTCCGTCCGATTCACATACTCCTTGAGCGCGCGAATCGGACACAGCTTGTGCCACCGCTCCTCCTCAGGAGAGGAGAAGGGTGGTGGGTAGAAAGCTGTGAGGATAATAGGAGAAAAGGAGCCCACCACCTTAGGCACAAAGGCAGGGTTGGGCTTCATGGACACCTTCATGTCACCTGGTGCAAACTGGGTGCAGGATGGGTGCACAGAGAGAGCCTGTAAGTCACTAACTCGCTTTGCAGATACCAAAGCCAGGAGTAGCACCACCTTAAGAGACAGGATCTTAAGGTCCAGGCCGTCCATAGGCTAAAATGGAGGCCCGGAGAGGGCCGACAGCACCAAGGACAGATCCCATGAGGGCACCAGGGGTCGGGACACAGGGAGAAGCCTGCGTGCCCCCTTCATGAAGCTACACACCAGGGGGTGTTGACCTGCCAATTTCCTCCCAAAACCCAAGTGTCGGGCGGAAATGGCTGCTAGGTACACTTTAATGGTGGAGAAAGCCTTCTTCCCATCCATCAAGTCGTTCAGGAAAGACAGAATGACGTTCACCGGGCATTGGAAGGGTGAGATCTCCCTGCCCTGACACCAGGCTTCAAACACCCTCCATTTACAGTCATATAGGGACCTAGTGGAGGGGGCCCTAGCATTCTGAATGGTTCGAATGACTGCCTGGGGCAGCTCTGCTGACCCTAGCCCGCACCCCTCAGGGGCCAGGCCCACAGGGCCAGCCGTTCTGGATGAGGGTGGAAGATCGAGCCTCCCGCTTGGGACACCAGGTCCCTGCGAAGCAGCAGATTCCATGGTTGGCCCTCCAGGAGCTGGAAAATGTCCGCCACCCAATGCATGGCTGGCCAGTATGGGGCCACCAGAATGAGAGTGTGGCGCTGGGTTTGTACCCTCAGCAAGGTGGGTGGTATCAGGGCCACTGGGGGAAAAGCGTAAAGCAGTCCCCGTGGCCAGTCGTGCGCCAGCGCGTCCACGCCGAGTGGAGCGTCTCGGTCGCGCAGGGAGAAGAACAGAGGACACTGAGCATTCTCCTTGGAGGCAAAAAGATCCACTACGGCTGTGCCGAACCGGATCCAAATCTGTTCCAACACTGCTGGATGCAGGCTCCAATCCCCGTACAAGGGTGTCCCTCTGGACAACAGATCCGCCCCCCGATTCAGAACACCCGGGACGTGGGTGGCTCTGATTGAGAGGAGATGCCTGCTGCACCATAGGATCAGTCTGCGTGCCAGCGTGTGTAACCGCACGGAGCGCAGCCCCGCCTGGCGGTTTATATAAGCCACAGTAGTAGTGTTGTCTGTTCTCACTAGGACATGAAGGCCGGAGAGAAAAGGCAGGAAGCGCCTCAGGGCCAGAAAGACCGCGAGGAGTTCCAGATAATCTATGTGTGTTCCCCAGAGCTCTCTGCTCCACACACCCCTGACACAGCGGCCCTCCAGGAGCCCCCCCCCCCCCCCCCCCCCCAACCTGACAGGCTCGCATCTGTCGTGACCACTTTCCTCACGAGAACCAACCCCAAAGGCACCCCCTGTGCCAAGAGGGAGGGGTGACGCCAACAGCGGAGCGCTGCGACGCACGCTGCAGAGACCGTCACCCTGCACGCTCTGTGGCGCACTGGAGAGAGACCCAGAGAAGCCACCCAGCGCTGAAAATCTCTCATGTGTAGACGGCCGAGTGGTACCACTGAAATAGCCGACGCCACGAGACCCAAAAGCCTGAGGCATAACGCAAACCGCACCGAACTGTGTAGGCGGAAGCGCGCCAGGCAGAGCGAGAGCGCGTTCACGCACGGTGTCGAGAGACGGGGCGTGAACGCCCCTGAGTCCAGATTCAGACCTAGAAAGGTTATTTTCTGGGAGGGGAGTAAAGCGCTTTTCTGCCAGTTTATTCTGAAACCCAGACCACACAAGTGATGGATCACAACCAGCGTGTTTGACGCTGCCTCCTCTCTGGACCGTGCCAGCCGAAATACGTGCCAGCCGAATGCCCCTCCCTCTCAGAGGGGCGATCACCGCCTCCGTACACCTGACAAACACCCTCGGGCTCAGCGAGAGGCCGAATGGGAGCATGGTGTATTCGTAACACACTCCCTGAAAGGCAAACCTCAGAAATTTCCTGTGTGGAGGGTACACGGGAATATGAAAGTATGCGTCCCTCAGGTCGATTGAGGTGAACCAGTCGTTCTGGTGAATCAGACGCAAAAGGGATGAGAGCGTGAGCATTTTGAATCTGTACTTTCTGAGGCATCGGTTCAGGGCCCTCAGATCCAGGATCGGGCGAATCCCGGTCCCTCCCCACTTCGGGACCAGGAAGTACCTGGAGTAGAAACTGCTCTGAGACCGATCGGGAGGCACAATGCATATCGCTCCCTTCTCCAGCAGGGAGGAGATTTCTCCCTGAAGGATGTGAGCTGACGTCCCCTGGGCGTGGGAGAACACTACGCCGGAGAATCGAGGAGGAACAGAAGCGAATTGGAGCCTGTAACCTCTCGAAATAGTTCTCAGAACCCAACGTGAAGCAGAAACAGCTGTCCATTCCGCCATGTGAGTGGAGAGCGGTGACACAGCCGTGACACACGGAGCAGCAGCTCCCTCCAGAGGTTGTGGGGCAGCGGTGCTCGTGGCAACCACTGCGCATGCGCGGGGGCTTTGTGCTTTGACGGCCCAGGCGTACGGGGACGACCCGTGGCTGGCGGGTAAGTCCGCCAGGGGCCGCCCACGCCTGGAACTGCTCATGGGCAACATTTTTATTGATTTTTGCTGCGCCCTTGACATTTTGTCAGGATGCGGCAGCGAATTTTTTAATGCTCCTTGAGCGTGACATGTTTGTGAAAAACAATGTGAGTGCTTGTGACGTGTGTTTTGAGCCGGCACAGCTGGCTGCACGTCCTGGCCCCACCCTGGACCGCTCGGGGACTCTGCCGGAGGGGTTCCGTGAGGGGGGGAGAAGGCACCATGGCAACATCGAACAGGAGGAGCTGGCGAACGGGGAACCGCCAGCTGCAGCGTCCGGAGGGAAAGAACTCCGCCAGGCTGCCCTCTTCTTCTTCCTCACCTGCTGACCGCCGGGTCGGGTGGGTTGTCCCGGCGGCGGAGCGGCTTGGTTGCCGGATCTCTGAGGCCAAACTGGTCGAGGCGCTGAGCCCGAAGGAGCTGGTTGGACAGCTTGAGGCTTCGGGCGCTTTGGGATCCAGAACTGAGGCTGGGCTCGGACAGCCGCCTGAGGAAGGTTCGGCCGAGCCGGCAGCGCCGGTGAGGGCTTACGGGGAAGGCAGAGATGAAGGGCTTCATCTTCCTTCTTTTTGGCCTCACACCGCTGCTGCATTGATGCCAGGGCAGAGCCAAAAATGCCTTCAGATACGATTGGCATGTCCAAAATGTCCTCCTTCTCTCTATCAGAGAGGTTGGAGAGGGTCAGCCATCGTGCACGTTCTTGAAGCACCATCATGCCCATAGCTTTTCCCGTGGCCTGGACCACGCAGCGCTGCACACGCAGGCAGATGTCGGTCAGTACGGTGATTTCCTCCCACACCTCCGGGTCCGGCTTCGTATTCATGTCCTCACAGAGCTCGGCTTGGTACGCCAAGAGCATGGAGGCGACATTCAAAGCTCGGACGGAGATGGCGGCAGCCTTGTACGCCCTCTCGTTCAGCGCCGACTGGAAGCGGTCCGCCTTTGCGGGGAGAGCGGGAGGCCTGGAGGAAGTTGCCGAGAGCCGTGGGTGCAGGTGGGCTGCAACCAGCGGTTCCATCGGCGGCATGCAAAGCATGCCAGCCTTCTCCATCCCCTCGAAGTCCAGCGAGGAGGCTCCTTGGACAGGAGACCTGGAGCTGAAAGGGCGTTTGTCCCAGGAGGACCTCACTTCTTGGAGAAGCCCCGGGAAGGCGGGGAGGAGGGGCTTTGCCGCCCTTGTGGCCTGAGGCAGTTTCTTTCCCTCGTAGCGGGATCTGACAGCCTCAGTGACCACGGTGGGCCAAGGGATGTTGAGCCTGGTCGCAGCGCGTCGGCAGACTGACTGCATGTCCAGGTGGGCGACCGGAGAAGCCGCTCCATCCCTGGGAGAGGACGGAAAGCTAGGCATGGAGGCCTGTGCGATGGGGAGAAAAGCGTCGTCATCCTCGTCCTCCTCTGAAATGAGGAGTTCCGAGGTGCCCTCGTCGTCTCCGTAGTCCAACTCCAACACGTCCTCGACGGGGTGGCTCGGACCGGCCGGTTCGAGCTGTGAGCCCCAGCTGAGTTCGGCACACGGTTCCGGCTCCGGGAGGACATGTTCGCTGGCGTCCCCAGGCGGTGGCCCAGGGGCCAGCAGGCAAGGGTCCTTCCCCGACAGGCTAGCTTGGCGCGCTAGCCGCCGGCGAAGGCTCTTCAGGCTGAAGCAAGCACAGCTCTCACATGACCCGGGGACTTCCAATGCCAGCTGGGCGTGTTCCAGCCCGAGGCAGCTCGAGCAGACCTTGTGCGGGTCTGTGCTTGAGATTTTGTTCCCACAGGTACAGAGCCGAGCTCCTGCGCCGTCGACTCCTCTGGTGGGAGGAGCGGCTTCCATGTAGGCTAACTGGTGTGTTAGCAGAGAACGAACAGATGCACTGGAGTGTGAAGCTGCTCGTTATGCCCCGAGCCTATGGTGAAGGCCAGGACAGAAGGACAGTAAGTTAACGTTCGGCGACGGAGAGAATATTAGAAGGCTCCGTCTGTGAACAGTTGAGCTAACTTACCTCAGAGATAAGCGACCACCGAAGCGAGAAGAGGTGATTGAGTAGTGCGTGCGTGGGGACGCTTGCTACTTATAGTAGCAGGGAGACGCGTACGTCACGGTCACTGGCCAATCAGGATTGGCGTATTGAGATAAGTGCTTCTGAGGAATCCGCGGAGGGGCGTATCCCATAGTGAGACATCGAAACGAATGTTAAGAAAGAGAACCCAGGGCAGAACCAGAACTCACTGGAATGCTATGGCTGAACTCTATGGCCTGAGAACACCTTGGGATTCACCAGCAAAACATGTCCCTGGGGAAGGAGTCCCACCTAGACCTTGAATGGTAAATGGTAAATGTCCTGTATTTGATATAGCGCCTTCTAGAGTCCTGGAACCCCCCAAGGCGCTTTACAACATAATCAGTCATTCACCCATTCACACACACATTCACACACTGGTGGGGATGAGCTACGATGTAGCCACAGCTGCCCTGGGGCGCACTGACAGAGGCGAGGCTGCCGAGCACTGGCGCCACCGGTCCCTCCGACCACCACCAGCAGGCAACGTGGGTTAAGTATCTTGCCCAAGGACACATCGACAGCGACAGACTGAGCGGGGCTCGAACCTGCAACCTTCCGATTACGGGGTGAGCGCTTAACTCCTGTGCCACCGTCGCCCGAATGAGCAGAGATGGATGGATGAGTCACTTTTCTTGAAATTGCAAATGGGCAGAATTTTGTCTCACGCAGTGACTTCAGCACCCTTCAAGTTTAAGTCTCATGGTCTTTGGAATATATCTGTTTGTTTCTCTGACTCTGTTGGGCCACTTGCCATTAGTCACTTGATGTCTCACAGGTCTGGAAGCCAGTTTGAGTAGACTTAGCTGATGTCCCGTAGTCAGCAGATATGCCTCCTGTCGTTGGCTGATATCTCTGATGTTCCAAGTGCTCCAGCTGCTACAGTCTGAGCTTTAAGGATTGCAGATTATCCACTTTTTTCAGTCCTACAATAATTTGGCAAGACACCTTGTCCAGAGCCTGCAGATGCCAAGTCAGATACTTGGATGCATCCAGAACCTCAGGAGAGATCCAGGCTTTAACAGTGTGCAATCAGGCCTGACAAGTCCTCCCATCTGCAGTCCCACGTCCTGACAGGGAAGTTCTGCTTTAATGGTCACACATAGTAAACTGTGGAAGGGTTCCTGTCTCCAGGGATTCAGTGCGACTTTGGTTCTTTTCCCAGCCCATCCTCCCCAGTGGTCTGACCAGTCTATCTCACATAAAAACAATCCTCCATAGCTGTTTATTTTCATAACTATTTCCCTTCTTTCTCTGGTGACGACTCAAACTTATAAGATTACCAAGTTGCCTGATTGTCATGGGTGATTCTGCAGGTTGAGTGCTTTGCAGTCTTGTTTCTGGTTTTATTGCATTTGTGGTACTTCCTGTTTTATTTTGTGCATTCACTTTCTGTCTCATTACAGGCAGCTTCACGCCATGAGGCTCCTCACTAATCTGCCTCATGTCTTGCACCTGGGTCCTGGCTTCTCCATTTAAGTGTCTTTGCAACAGTTTCCTTTGCCAGTTTGTCTTCTCCCGTTGTGTGATGTGAACCTGCTCTCAGAAACACTTGGTAAAAGTGTATTCAGTTAGATTTGGACTTTTCAGTTGTGTTGTACTCCAGGAATCCCTCCTGCTCATTAAAACTGTGTGAACTCTGCATTTGAGTTCTCTTTGTGCTTTGATACTGATTGGTTATTTTCATGGCAACAATCAAAGTTTTAGTCATAGTTTAGTTCCCGGCCCTTCAGGATCATGGTGATGACTGAGTGAGTTCATTAATAGAAGGGTGGATGGACGTGTTAGAAACATAACTTGTTCTTACTTTTCTCTTTTGTCAGAAATAGGGAGTTAAAGTGGCACAGCCCAAGCTGCTGCTGCTGCTACTGCAGGACTTTGAAAGCAGTTCAGTCCTCATTGGTCAGAGATGTTGGCATCGTTTCATCTCCTTTTAAACTAAACTGCAGTCAAGGAGTGAGAGAAGTGAAACAATTAGCAGATACCGCAACAGCAGGAGAACCCGTACTCCACAGCCCAGCTTAGAAACACTTGAGACACGAGGCACTCTTCAACATACCTGAAAGATAAGTGCTGCTTGTGTTTCGATCAACTGGAAGGAGAAGTAATGCTTTAGGGTGAAGAACAGGAATCAGAGTCTCCATATTCACAGCAAATAGTGAACGTCACAAGCAAGTCCACACTAAACCGATTCAGCCCTCAACAGAAGAAAAGCCTAAGCCAGGGTTTGACAGTTATGAGGTTTGACTCATCTGAACAAAAACAGGTGTATTCATACAAAAGGACATTTTTCAAATGAACAAAATGCTTTAATTCAGAGTTACACATTCCCTTCAGACCCCATCACAGAGGATCAAACCAGATTACAGCTAATTATTGTTCATTTAAATCACAGAGCTCACATGCACCAGTAGGCTTGGTCATCAAGAGGGCAAAGCAAGACTGGCCTCACGCCTAAACACGTCAGATCAGTGTGATGATCTGGTTGCAGGATCTTCTAGCATGTAGCTGCATCCTGAGATGGTCCAATGGGCTCTTGCCAGGATGCGCCCGGCGTAGAGGGATAGTGGACATGTGTGGTTAAATAGCTGCAACCCTGTTAGATATCGGCTCCGTCAGTGGTCTGATTGTCTTTACATTGAAGGTAGCTTTCTGAAGTTGGGATCCAGCCAAGTTCTAATGCTGCTTGTGATGACTTAGTTAATAAAATCAATTTACAAAACTATTTTCAAAAATAATAAAAAGTCAAAAGCAAAGAACACAAACCAGACGTGTAGAGTCATGGGGTATGTAACTGGAATAATGAAACTGTACTAAAGAAACTTTTGATGATTGACAACCTACTGAAAACATGTTCTCTTTCTTCATCAGTTCCCATCCTATCACAGGACTGATGCAGAAGTCTAGCACACCGAGCCAAGAGGGGTTAGGAGTGTGTTAGCTTGGCTCCTTCACCCAGAGCACCGCCACTGCCAAGATGTCAGGTGACCACCCGCGGTGTCAGGGTGAGTCGTCAAAAACGTGATCTGGCTCCCGCTGCACTTGGCTGCAGGATGGCACGCTGAGGTGGAAGAAGCAGCAAAAGCTTTCAGTGAGGGTGGGGCAGTGGACACAGCTGTAGCATGTAGGAGTTACCCTCTGAAGTTATAAACTAATATCACTCCAAACAGGCTTAAATATTTCTGTACAGCCCTCTGGAGTAGCATCAGTTGGAAGGGGTGTGATACTTGAATATAATCATGATTTGATTCTTTCTGTTGTGCTCTGTGTCATTTGCTCACTCATACTCATACCACCAGCTCAGTAGCCTATCTCCTGGGGATGGGAGATCGGAGTTCAAATCCTGGTCGGGTCATACTGAAGACTTTAACAGTGGGACCCAATGCCTCCCCGCTTGACGCTCAGCTTTAAGGAGTTGAATTGGGGGCTTAAACCACCAAATAGTTCCCGAGCACTGCCGTGTCTGCAGGTCCCCACTCCCCACGGGGATGGGTCAGATGTGGAGGACAATTTTCCCCACACCAGAGTGTGTGACAACAATGGGACTTTAATCCTTAATACTCGTGTCTCTCACATGTAACCCACATCACATCAGCTCTCCTCAGTCTCTCTCCACAGCGCCATGTCTGCAGCCATAGCCTCAGCTCTCCAGCTGCCTGCTTCGACTCTACGTCTCGTTCCCAGCCCTATTCCCAGCCCCTGGAGGTTTTAGCTGTCTGTTTTTTTTAATATTGTACTTATTTCAAGGTTTGTGCAATTTATTTTTATTTGTTTATTTTACGGATTACATACTAGACTGTCAGGATCTTCACCTGCAAATCATAGCAGGGTTTTTTTTTTTTAAGTTTTGGGCTTTTGCCAGAAACCACGTTCTTCCCCACGCTATTTTGGTTTTTTCATTGACTATTTTAATTTGGTATCTGAGTCTGGTTTAGCACTTTAGAAATTGCATTGAGTTGGAAAAGGGTAGAATTCCTTCTCCCGGTCAGAGACGCGGTCCTGCCTCAAGTAGAGAAGTTTAAGTAACTCGGGGTCTTGTTCACGAGTGAGGGAAAGTTGGATCTGTGCTGCGTGATGCGGGTGTTGTACCGGTCTGTCGTGGTGAAGAGAGAGCTGCGCCAGAAGGCTTTTAAACTTTGATTCAGTATCATAACAAGAAATGTCACAATATTTCAGCGCATCGTATTTTCTTACATTCCTGCTAATTTCTCCTTCATTCCCAACTCCATCATTAACATCTAGTAAAAGAGTTCCAAGCCAGAGCTGCTAAAAATAAGTAAGTGGCTTTAACACAAAACCAGATAAGTAAAGAGCCATCAGTGGTGAGGACCTGTTTGCTTTTCTGTCTTCTGTCTAAATGAGTCTGAGAGTTTTGGCCTGGGTTCCACCCATGGCTCTTGTGTGTGGTGAGTGATGATTCACACATTTCTGTGTGTGTGCATCACCTCATGATGCAAAGTGCCAAGGATGACCCAATGGACACACACACACACACACACACACACACACACACACACACACACACACACACACACACACACACTCAGCTGGTAGTAGGTTTATTACCATCTGAAGAGACACCGCCTGTCTAAAAGGAATCAGGTGTCCGGCATTTAAACGTTCCAAACTAGGAAAGTAGAAAACCTAAAGGTGGGATAGGAAATGTTTTTCTGGTACAATTTTCTCTGTACAGCTTGAAATACTGTTCTCATACTGATGGCAGCCAATATGGTAAATATTTTTGTTAAAACAATTCATAATTTTAATTACACCATAAATATTACCAATGTAATTACCAGTGTAATACTAAGAGGTATAACCAGATGTTTTACATTGATAGTGTAACGTACCAAGAGGGTCAGTTTTTCACCATCTACATTGACCAACATACCTTTCATCTACAGCATGAATTCATTTTCTATTTGGCCTTCTAAATCCAGAAGGTTTCTGCTCATTCCATGAAGACAAAACATTCAAATAGACACACTGTCCCAAGGTCCTAAACTCTGCTTGGAAGCCAGACGACATTCTTCACTCTGAATAAGTGAAGACTCCACAACGTTATAGTTATAAGTTAAATAATCATATGTGGTGAATGAACAAGATGTTTAAATTAAATGTTTGAATAATCCGTCCTTAAATCAATGAATTTAAAATGAATATTATTCTTACAATGATCCATTTATATCACAAATCACTATGTGTTTGATTTAACATGTTAACCATTGTTTACACTCATACACATTACAATAAGATACATATTAAGGTTAAAAACATTTTCGTATCTGAAGGAAGGCGTGGCTTTCTGAGGGATGTTGGTAAATACTCAGAAACGTGTCAAATTCTGATTTACCAAGCTTGGCCAGAAATCATAGCAAAGTAGTTTAATAAAACAAGAATTGCTTCCCGAGTTGTTCAGTTTCCCGCTGAGTCCCGGTTCGGCCAAATCGGGACAGAAGCCTCTCTTGAAACAATCTCCTTTGACCTTAAGTCAGGTTTTGTTTAGTGCTTGTAACAGCATTGTAAACCCCAGCATTGGAAGTAGTTGTATACCTTCTCAAAAATTATGTGACCGCTTTTTGTCCTTTTTTGTCGGAAAGATTTCACAGATTAGATCTTCCATATTAACATCCTCTATCTCAGATCCAAGTTCTTGTCCAGATTGTTTAACATCTTGGTGTCAGTTTCAACCTGTCTCCTTAGAGGAGTTATCAGATATTGTCCATCGTTTAAAACCTTCAGTCTGTCCACTTGATGTTATTCCACCTCGTATGTTTAAGCAGGCCTTTGACAGTGTTGATTCAGCTGTGCACAGACTAATGAACTGTTCTCTTCTCTCAGGGTGTGTTCCGCTGTGTTTTAAACAGGCTATAGTGAATCCCCTTTTAAAGAAGCCAAGCCTGGACGCAGCTTGCCTATCTAATTACAGACCTATTTCCAAACTTGGTTTCTTATAAAAAGTTCTGGAGAAAGTTGTTCATGAACAGCTACAGGATTATCTGTCCATACATCACATTTCAGACACGGCTTAGCACTGAAAGTGCACTTCTACGAGTGGTGAATGACATTAATGATTACTGATTCTGGCAACTCATCTGCTTTAATGCTGCTAGACTTATCTGCTGCTTTTGACACCATTGATCATGATATTCTGTTGTCTCAATTAGAGTCTTGTGTTGGTATAAGGGGCACAGTGCTTGACTGCTTTCAGTCTTATCTACAGGACAGGTCTTTTTCTGTGAACTTGGGAACTTTTACATCACCACCAGCACCTGTGACTTGTGATGTTCCACAAGGTTCCATTTTAGGGCCAACGCTTTTCTCACTGTATATTTTACCATTGTCCTCTATCTTTGCCAGACAAATTACTTTTCATTGCTTTGCTGATGACCTTCAGATATATCTCCCACGCATCCCAGATTCAGCTGTTTCTTTAATGGCCTGCTTACCATATTTGAAGCAATGGATGTTAATTAATTTTATGAAATTGAATGATCGGAAGACAGAGATTTTAGTTTTTGGCAGTGGAGACCTGTTAAAGGGTGCGGTGAGCCCACTTGTTCCCTTTTGGATTTTGTAAAGCCTTATGTGGAAAAACCTGGGTTTTTCATGGATGGTCCGTTTAAATTGGACAGTCAGATAAGTGCAGTGGTCCATTCTGGTTTTTATCACTTGAGGCAACTTGCAAAGGATAAGTGTTATTTGCCGGAAACTGTCTTTGAACATGTTATTCATCTATTTGTCTCTTGTCGACTAGATTACTGCAATTCCCTGTACTATGGATTAAGGCATTCCTCCTTAAACCGCTTGCAACTGGTATAAAATGCAGCAGCCCACCTTTTAACAGGTACAAGGAAGCATGATCACATCTCTCCAGTGCTTGCTTCCCTTCACTGGCTGCCAGTGCATTACAGGATTCAGTTGAAATTGTTGCTTTTTTTAATAAATCACTTTATGGTCTGGCCCCTCCTTATTTAGATGATTTATTGTCACCCTACACTCCTGCCAGGAATTTGCGGTCGGGCTCACAGTTTTTATTGTCAGATCCAAAGGCTCGCCTAAAGACGAGAGGAGATGGGGCATTTTCAGTGG